CCGAGACCAGAGATTTTGTCTTCCGAGATTTCAGACTCCAGCTGGAGCTCATCCTTGGGGAACTCCTCTGTGAGGGTGAGGATGGGCTCCAGCATGAGTCCGAAAGCTTGGAAGACAAAGGCGCTGGTCCCAGTGACCGACCCAGATTGGATCCTGCAATACTTCCTTGAGCCTAGATATCAATATTCACTCTCTGATATGCTTCAAGTAGCAAAAGGCAAAGAAGTTTGAAAAACAAAATTAACTAATGGCAAAGGATGGATCATTTGCAGATTGTTAATTGTATCTACTGCCTTGTTTATGGGCAGAAGTTCCATTGTTCATTCCATCTCCAGGGCCTACAGCTGATCAATCCATGTAAACAGTTGTCCCCCACCCCCCATCAGTGATGCCACCAGCTGATTTGTCATCTCTCACCTCCATCATCTGTTGTTTTGTCAGCCTCTCAGGGCTGTCAGAGTCTTGATTAAGAAAATCTGAGGCTCCTTGAAATGTGATACCAGAGACAGAGCTGTAACTCCTAACAGATGGCTTCTGTTCTGTTGGCGGGATGTATTTCATGTTTGCTTAATTAGTCGCATGTCATATTGAAAGCTGAAACGTGTTTGCATGCCAGGCACAAGCACAGAAGAGAAAGACTGGCCTCCACCTTTATGTATAGCCGCCTTCAGCTGGATGCCCTCCAGAGATACTTTGTAGAATCAAAGCAGTGGAATGAACTTTAGAGGTTATCTCATCCAATGTCCTACTCAGCGCAGGATCCACTAGAAAACCCTCAACAGATGACCATCCAGCCTCTGAAGACTTCCTGTGAAGAAGAATCTATCACATCTAGCAAGTTGTTCCACTGGCTGCCAAATTGTATATGGGAACAGATATTAAAATCCCAAAACATTTGGAAGATGCTCAGTTGATGATGTCTGGGTTCAGAAGCCATATTAAGCTATGACTTTTAACTCTTGACTTTTTTTAAAAAAAATGTGCCAGTTCATGCATAATTCTCAGCCATAAATCCTGGTTTACAGCCATAATGGCTGAGGTCAAACATTATCACCAAAACAAAGCCAAAACAAAGTACAGCAATTTCAGATAGGGTAATCTATCAACCCAAACAGTGGTGGGTTTCAAAAATTTTTAGAACCTCTTCTGTNGGCGTGAGCTTAAATGGACTCCAGAGGATGGTAGAGGACAGGAAGGCCTGGAGGAACATTGTCCATGGGTTGTGATGGGTCAGACACGTCTTTGCAGCTAATAACAACAACAATCATATGATAGAGATGAACGAAAAGGGAATTATTGTTGGAGCCAATGGTGGCAAAAACTAAGAGAGACTCGAAGCACCTTTTCCAACTCATGATTTTGATGGAAAGGAATAAATCTTCATGTGCTGCTGCATACTGTATACATCTGATGAAGTGAGCAGCAGCTCACAAAAACTTTCAGTAAATTTGTTTTAAAGGGTTTTATTAGCACCAGTTTCCCGGGTTTACATTGAATACTCATATGGGCCTTTGAAAACTAATTGTAGTTAAGAAACGTTGGTGAGGTTCACCCCCAAAATAACAAAGAACATCAGTTTAATTCTGAGGGACTTAAATGAGTCAAATAGCATGGCGATGCAAAGGGGGATATAAAACAGAAGTGGAATGCCAACCTACCCTGTCCTATTCTTACTCTAGTCAGACCACCACAGTTGTTATTTTTAAGAATTACTTCTTTTTAATTTCTAAAATATGACATACAAAGCATGGATTTGGAGGAAACCATGCAATCTTTTTGTAAATCCTTGTCCTTCATGTTGATTGTCTGTAGGTGTGTGAGAAAGAAGTAGGAATACCAAATGTGAACTGCATAAATGCAGACAATCAGTAGATGGAAATAAAGAGAAATGGAAAAACTCCGAGGGGGTGGGGGGGTTGCAGCTCAGATCAAGAAGGTTTTGAAAAACTGGAGTTACCCCCAGTAAAACCAATCAGGACCTAGGAAGCAGTCTTTGAGACCATTCCTAGCAAATGAATAACAATGTACATGCAATGTTTTCTGGCTAAAAACCAGCTCTTAGCCTGTTGTACAATCTTCAATGTGAATGGAGACCAGGCTGAGCAGCAATAAATATTAATTTTCTGGATGTTTTTAATGTTTTTTATTGTTTTTATTGTTTTAGAATTTTAGAATTATAAGCCACCCAGAGTCACTTGGTTGAGTTGGGGGGTATAGAAATTAAATGAATAATTAAACAGTAACCACAGACTTCTGCCTTTGCAAAATATTGTAACTCTGCTTCTGTAAGACTCAACAAAACTACCAGGGGTAGATTCTAAAGAATAAATATTTTTTTCCACAAATATGCGTAAGAATTATCTTTTCAGGTTTTGCCCTCCATAGGTTTATTGCAATCCAGTTTTTATCTCTATTCTCCAGGAAGAGACCTGGCAAAGTCCTTCTCTTGCAGGTTGTTCTGGTTTTGGGCTAGCACAGTAGTCAGTCAGAGTCACTCCTTAAAGCTACAGAGTTGAAGCTATTCATCCACCCACCTTATAACTAAAAAACGAAGTTATGCATTTACCCAAAAGGTGATTTTCAAGCTTATATCCATCCATTCATCCATCTATCCATCCATCCATTTCTAGCTGTTTAGCTACACACACACACCTGATGTATCTATCCATCCATCCATCTATCTCTAGCCATCTAGCTACACACACACAGACACCTACGTGATATATCCATCCATTCATCCATCCACCCACCCACCCCCTCTCTCTTTCTTTCTTTCCGTGTTGCTATGTGAGATGGGAAGGAAACATGTACCTATTAGTGAACTGAGCATATGCCCCTGTAACATCTTGCCTCTAGCCTCCCTTTTCTCACCCTGGAATAGAGTCTTGTTTGAAGATATGAGTAGCTTAAAAGATTAACGGAGATCTGATCTCCCTCATCAGAAATCCAAAAGGGTTGTTCCAGAACTGTGTGCCGCATCTGAAAGTAAAAAATGTTTCAAGTATTAAAAGTGTCAAGGTAGCTCTTGTCAACAACTCCTTAAACCAAGTACGTGAAACACCAGTTTGCCTTCAGATCCAAAATGCTGCAGAGCCCGAGAGTCAAACATAGTGAGAACAGGTCTATTGTCAATTGAACAATCTGATTATTGTGCAACTCAGACTGGCTGATTTAAACAATTGAAGGAATTGTTCTGTATGCTCAAGTTGTTTTTAGTAGTATAATTGGAAAAAAGGCTGCAAACAAAACCAGAACTAGTTGTCTTGTGTTTTCCTATTTTAATTTACAGGAAGAGAGCCATCACTGAAGCTGCACAATCTTGTGGGCAAAGAGACACATTAGCTGCATCTCAGAAAGTTGATACAAAAAAAAAACACACACACTACAATGAATTAAGCAGAAAGTAACCAATTATGGGCAGTTAATATGACCACCATTCCCCCCTTCTTTACAGATTTCACCTTTGTGTTTTTACATTCAGTAGAAACATTTGGTGGTACATATTTAAAAGAGCCTGAAAGCCACAACCAAGGTGTTTGGAGACAAAAGTTGCACAGCAGACACATAGCCTGTAAGAACATTAATGCATCTTGATGACTGGGAAACATTGTCCTGAAAGATGTAGAAATCCTTCTCCCTCCTCATTGGAACATGGCATAGATCAAGCACAGAAAGTTGGCAGAGTCTCTGAGGACAAAAGATAATAAAGCAAGAAGGGATTGTGAGCTGGCTATAGATAAAGTATCTTGGAGTGTATTACAATATAGGACTGCCTTGGAACCTTGACGTAACAGTCTGGTTTTGCAGACAAAAAGTCTATATAGCTTCTCATAGGTTTCACTGATGTAACTCTTCCCACTCCAGGTGTTACCAAGGTGGCACAAGTCTGCAGTCCTCTCTCGCCTGCCCTCTTAGGAAGCTGGTAACCAAACATCCCCTTTATGGAAGTTATGAGTGACTATCAGCAGGCACGAAGCTCTCCCCTCGCTCCCTACACAGGTATGTGCAAGCGGCCCGCCCGCTTGCACACACCTGATGCAGGTGTTCCCTTTTCCCGGGCTAACCCCATTGCAGCGTGAGGAACCCGGGGTAATCGTGCAGGTCTGCGCCAGCCGTTCGTTGGGTGCGTTAGGACGTGTGTGGACTTCTTTGCAACCCCCGCACATATCTCCTGATCTTAAACCGGAGAAGCACAATCTGCAATGCAGCAGCAACGTTTAGGGGGGGGGGCACTCCAATGTTGCTGGGAGGTTTGATGGGATTTCTTTTCTCGGCACGCAGGAAAACTCTCACTCGCCCCTCATTGCCGCTCACTCGTCCAAGAGCAGGTTTGTGTAAGGGTGGGAGGCGGTGGTGGTGATATTTTTTTGTTTTTTTGTAACGGCCTGTTTTTGCAAACAGCATGTCGAGGGGGCGGCGGTAGAGGGAAGTAGGACATCTCGGAGACCATGTGCAACCTAGGAGAACCAACCTGTAGGTAGAGAGATATTGGCCCAGAAGCGGGTGGCTATTCATGTCGATCATCTACGGTTAGCAAACGGACGGGGGGGGGGGGCTTTTGCGGACGGGCGTGTCCTTCACAAAGCTGCAAAAGTGCGGGCGCGCGAGACGAAGCGCAACAAGCCGCCTTTCCTCGCCAATGCAAAGTCTCCTGGCTTGGGGAATGACAGCAGCAGCGAGCAGCAGCTGGAGCCCCACCTCCTCCACCTCCTCCTCTACCGCGCTCCCGGCTGGGATGGAATCGAGTTGCGCTCCGCCCCTGCAGCCAATCGCGCCCCGCGCAAAGCCACCACGGGCCTCGCCTCGCCTGGGGCTGAGTCAGCGGCGGAGGAATGCGAGGCGCCCCCTGCTCCTCGGGGAGGGGGCGTTGCACCTCCGCTGCCGAGGCCATGACGTCATGGGCTATGTTAATGACTAGCATGTGAGGAGCGGGGGCTCCGCGGGGCGCGCGGCTCACTTGTGCCGGAGAAGCAGGCGGGGAGAGAAGAGAGAGGGAGACGCGGCTCCGACGGCGCGCCCGGACGCAGCGCCGTTCTTTGCTCCGGGGGTCGCCTTCGCTGGTGCGCGGGCTCGCCATGGCCCTGCCCGGGCACCGCCAGGCGCCGCCGCCGCCACCTCCTCCACCGCCACCTCCATCGCCGGCTCCTCTTCCTCCTCTTCTTCAGTAAAGCCGGCAAAAGAAGGACGGCCGGCAGCCAGGTGGGCGCTCCGCATAGCGCGAGGGGGGCGGGCGAGGAAGTGGGCGAGTCGGGCGGAACGACGGGCGGGCGCCCTTGCTCTGCGGCGTCCTGACTCTTGTCCATCCAGGAGCCTCCCGGGCGCGAGGGGATTCCCGGCACGGGGAGCCGGGGACGCCAGACTGTCGCGGGGCTGGAAGGACGCAGAGCCCGGGAGGAGGGGGGCGGCGGCTGGGAGGCGGAGAGGAGCTTGGCGGATGTCTGTGGCGTGAAGCAAAGAGCCGCCCGAGGCAGCGCCGGTGGAGATGCCCGGCTCCCTCTGTTTGCATTGGGCTGGGAGAGGGCGTGGAGTCCCGGGCTCGAAGTTTATTTGGGACCGGTGCTTGTCGTCCTTGTACAATCGGGGCGGCGGCGGCTGTGAAGCAAAGGTTGTTGCTTCTCCTTCGGATACCCTGAAAGTTTCCGGGCAGGTCATTGGGGGGGGGATATGATGGGGCTGCCCCTCCTATGATTCTACATCTGGTTCTTTGGAAGACTCATCTACTTCAACAGTGTCTTAAGTTCATTGAAGCAAAATGCTTTTCTGGGACAGTTACTTTTTCTGCACCCGCCTCTGCTTGGGAGGTACCGCCCCCTCCCCCCTCCCCGTTTGCCCTTCCTGGCTTAGGCTCTCAAGCGCTACTCTCACCTTGGAACTCTCCAGAAGTGTAAGGGTTCCAATCGCTGCCTTCGTAGCCATTGCCATCTTGGCTAGGGCGATGGGAGTTGTAGTCTCTGCAGCATCGGAGCAACTGCTAGGTTGGGGAAGCCAAATGCCGAGAATTTGCAACCCCTGGAAGTAAACCTGCCCTTGGTAGAGATTTCAACCGCAGAGAGAGAGAGAGATGGACGCCACCTTGTGAAAGAGGGGTGAATCTAAGTGTGTGAAGTGCATGTAGGACCCCACACTGATTGGAGAAGGGGGGAGAGCTGGGGTTCATCCCCTATTTTTTTAAAGTAGTATAAAAATGAGAGTCTATAGTGAGTTTCCTTGGGTCCCACCCCTCCTGGTTTCTGCTGAACTGTGTGTGTGCTGTGGTCTTGGAGAAAGAAAGCGGGGGGGGGGGGGTGTCTGAGAGTTTATTTTTGTCTCCTGCCTGCTGCTTGCTTGGAGCCTACATCCAGCAGGGGCTGGTGGTGACTGGTTGGGAGATGCTTGAATTCTGTAGTTGAAGCTGCAGCCCTTCTCCTCAGCCGCCTTACTTTCTGGCTGGGGAGAGGAAAGGCATGAGAAAGAGGAGGAGAGAGCACCAGAACCTGGGCTGGTTTGCATTAGCTATCTATAGCCGCAGTGTTAAGTTCTCTCCCCCCCACCCCCTTTTCTCCTTGTGCATGAATGATCAGTTGCAGTCCTGTCTCTCCCAGCCAGGTACATTCCTGTCTTGGGGAGGGGGGGCGGGAATCTGAGGGAGACTGCTTAGAATGTACAATAAGCAACAGGGAGCTCTATCCTCACTGCTGTGTAGTAGGGAGGTTTCTTTTAAATCTCTCTGATGTGAAGCCCGCACTTCTCCATCACTCCCTCTGCTGCCTGTGTGTGGGCTGCATTTTTAGTGTCTCAGTATCTCTATGCTGATCTCTTCCTTTTCCCCAGAACCTGTTATTTCTTGGGAGGGTGGTCTTTAACAACAACAAAAAAAAAGACACAACCCCTGGCTGCCCCTTACACCAACCCCCAAACCCTTGTCTCCCTCCCTAGCCCACCCTCTTGCTCTCAGTGATTGCTGATCCCAGATTTCCCTTCTGTCATATTAGGAAGTGAGCCGCGTTGTTTGTCATGCTGAATCATAGCGTTGCCTTTCAGAGTGTCTCATCTCACAGCGAAATTCTTTTTTTTTCCCCCTCCCTCTCTCTCTCTCTTTCTCCATCCCCTCCTCCTCTCCAACAGTTGTGAAGGCTTCTATTTTCTCCACTTCCCTTAGCAAGGAATGCTGTGACTGTGGATGGTCCAGAAAGCTGCCCGAGGAAGGAGAGCCAGCGCCAGCCCTGGGCTAAAATAACCAGACTGGAAAAGAGCAGAGGGTGGGGGAAGCAAAACACCCAAAAGAAAACAGCTACATAACCCATATATCCCCTCGCAACATCTTCACACATTGCTGTGCCTTGTTGAGAAATACAGCTGTACAAGTCCCACACACAGGAACCACGCAGTGTGTCTGTTTTCCCTTGCCACCATGTGTCATCGTCCTTGGCAGAATTAAGAAGCAGCCAGTGGCCTTTTGGACGGGCGAGGAAGAAGAAGAGCAAGCAAACCTCAGAACCCGTCTCCGAACATCTGTGCTGTTTTTGCACTGAACAACGTTGTAAAATAGAGGTTTAAAAAAGGGCGTGAGTGGGAAGAAAAAAAAAGGAACTTCTAGGGGATTCTCCTACTTTTTTTCCCCTTGCAAACAAATATAGATATATATATATATATATAAGGGAGTGCCCCACACAGATTTTTTTTCCTGTTCTCGATATTGCACGCGGACATTCACTTGCACCAACCATGATGTTTCGAGACCAGGTTGGAGTATTGGCAGGTTGGTTCAAAGGCTGGAATGAATGTGAACAGACAGTTGCTTTGCTTTCCTTACTGAAGAGAGTGACTCGGAGCCAGGCCCGTTTCCTTCAGCTCTGCCTTGAGCATTCCCTGGCCGACTGCACAGAACTGCACGTTCTGGAAAACGAAGCCAACAGCCCTGGTGAGTCGTCCCCCCCCCCCCCCCGCCTTGTCGTCTCTTTCTCCTCTCCTCCCCTCCCTTTTGGTGCATCCAGTCCATTTTGAATGCCACATTGTTCTCTGATGTATATGAGGATGCATAGTCATATTTGAGAGATGGTGGGTTGGTTTTATTTTAATTTGGAGGATGCTGTATAGAAATCGCTCTTCCCAAAAAACACTCTTTAACGGCAACAACTGGGAGTAACTTCCTGATGATACTTTTCCTTCTCTGCAACCTCATTCAGCGTAAGCTTTGCTGTAACTCCGGGTAGCGTGAATGATTGTAAATATCTTTTCCCTCCCTCCCATAAAACCTGCTGTCTAATAACTAAGTCAGGTCACGTAGAGTCTAGATTTCCTAGGCTTTTTTGGGGCAATAGGATTTCCTCTGTCTTTCAGCAGTGTGCGGAAGAAGCCTAATGCTACCTTGTGAAGGATGTTGAATAATTCTTGCCTTTGCTCCTCTGAGGGTGTGCATAGGTGCTTGTGTCTGTCTGTGTGTGTGTGTGTGTGTGTGTGTGTATTTATATGATTTACATCAGTTTTAGCAATTTGAGGAAGCCCATTCTTTCATAAGAACTTGTGACTGATGTGTTTTTCAGCAAAAACTTCTGGTAGTTCTTTGTGGCTTTGCCAATAGATTGAAATATTATTTTACTGTAGAAAATATGCACATGTTTAAATCGATACTTTAGAATTTGTTTATATTGCTATTTCCCCTATGAGGAAGGATTAACTTATTGGAGTAGCCAGGTAGCAAAACCATGATATGCAGCAAAAAAGAATTTAAGTGTTCATCTTGCACGATGGAGGAAATTGATTTTTAGAAACAATTGTACTGGATCTACCTTCATTCTCACTGCTTTCCACACTGACTGTGATTAAAGAGTCTGGAAGTTCAACAGCACTAGAGAACTATGAATTGTTTGTCCTCTAAAGAAGAGCAAGAAAAAAAGTCATATTTTTCAACAGTGAAAAAAAGTTTTGACATCCATTTATAAAGTTTCTTTTTAAGTTCTCTGAAGTGACCATTGCAAAATCTTTATGTAGATAGTGACAAAGATTTATCAGTTCTATGTATTTCCATGTTATTATCTTCTTATTTTCAACAGTAAAGAGTTTTAAGAGAGAATGGTAATTATTGGCTAGTTCACATAAGCATATACATTTATTTGGTGCTGGCATAACATGTTAGGCTGATCAAACTATTAGATTTGAAAATGATAGTTTATAGTGAATTATGTGGTGCACTTCTAACTAGTTGTGTTGCATTGATTAAGGCATGGCTGAGCAAAGCACAACTACTTAGAACTTGCAATTTATGGCTAAGAGAAGGTTTGCACACATCCACTTAAACCTCCTTTTATATATGCAGGGTGATAGGCTAAACCAGAAATTTTTCAACCTATGGCAACTTTAAGGTATGTGTGGACTTCAATTCCTAGCATGCTGCCTGCAGAATTCTGGAATTGAAGTCCCCACTTCTTTTTTATTTAACAATAATTTTATTAAAGTTTACAAATACAGAACATTTTTTAAAAAAAAACTACAATAATATAAACTAAAGGATAGTGTTCTTGTAATTTGATTATGAGATACGGGAGGAATATTTTTTTAAAAAAATTAAAATACAAGAGGAGGTGTTGACTTATCTAGATTGATTATATTTATTTAGAGGGGGAGAGGAGTGATCTTTTAAAAGTCCACACATCTTAAAAGTTGCCAAAATTGAAAACCACTGGGCTAAACAATGAAACAGTTCAAGAATGATAAAATATCCACAAAAGCTGCCATTGAAAATCTTATACTGATCTAAATATGTACACAATATACACATAGCTTGCCATATAATGCTACTATATAATATATTGTATTACTGTAAAATACTAAAGTATTCAAAGTACTAAAGTCTACAATCTTGATCACTAGCTTTTCCCAATCTGGCACCTTTCAAATGTTTTGGGTTTGCAACTAAGGAATTTTGGACATTTTGTTCTAAAAGAGTGCCAGATTGGAAGGGTTGCTGAAGTTTTGAGATCAAGTATCTATTTGAGGTTAGGCAGATAGCAACCTGAAAAGGGGGAGGTATGTTTTCTGAGATAATACCCAATGTGTGGAGTCATTGTTACATGATAAAACCATTTTTCAAGAATTTCTAGAGTGATGTTTTAAGATGTTTTATACTTTGTCTAGTTTGTGTAAACTGTGTGGGAAGCAATGATGAGAGGCAACACATTTTTCTTACATAAACAAACTTGAGCTAACTTTTGAGTAGATCTACATAAGATTGTATTGTGAGTAGCAAATTGAGAGGCTGCTTCATGTCTACTATGGATTTATTAGACAAACCACACTCTTACTGTAGCCTTAGATTTTCTGTCTGAAATAAAGACCGGTGATTTCCTTTCTTGAAAGAATGGGGACCATTTATACCAATGCTTTGAGCACTCTAGGGCATTACCTGGGAATGGATACTGACTTGGCTGAAACTCTGGCTCCTTGCAAACTCCTCCCATCAATTGCATGGTTTGGACTCAACTTCAGCCCTCACCTTTGGAGATGTCATCCAGCTCCTAGGGAACAGCAGCTTCAAGGAGCCAGGGGTAAAACTTTCCATAAAAGACCCTTGGGACACGATGGCTCACTGGCTAAGATGCTCACCTTTTTTATCAGAAGGTTGGCAGTTCAGTGGTTCGAATCCCTAGTGCTGTGTAACGAAGTGAGCTCCCGTTACTTGTCTCAGCTTCTGCCAGCCTATCAGTTCGAAAGCATGTAAAAATGCAAGTAGAAAAATAGGAACCACCTTTGGTGGGAAGGCAACATCATTCCGTGTGCCTTTGGCATTTAGTCATGCTGGCCACATAACCATGAAACGTCTTTGGACAGTGCTGGCTCTTTGGCTTTGAAACAGAGATGAGCACTGCCCCCTAGAGTCGGGAACAACTAGCACATAGGTGCGAGGGGAACCTTTACCTTTACCTAAAAGACCCTAGGGAATTTTCAGGGGGAAAGATGCAAGACACCTGGAGCAGGAGTGCTTTGCAGTATTAGGAGTTCCTAATACTGCAAATGTTTCTTTAATTGGTGAGGGAGAGAATGGCCTTTGGGTTCCATCTTCCCCATCTCAGTTCAGTATAAAAGTTCTGTTACAGTTAGTCAGGAAAAATGCATTGCTGATTTCAGAAGTATGTTAGTTTTTTATTTATTTTTTTAAGCAACCATAACTGAGCATGCTCAAGGTAGCTTCTTATGAACACTTAGAGTTCAAGTGTGCAAAGTGCAGCTGAGTCATGGGGGAGAAAGCTTTTGGTGGGTGATGGTGATTTCAAGTAAAGGTTTTGATTCTAGTCAAGCTTTTTCAGTGGAGTCTCATATTGGTCTTTTTTTAATGACCTTTTTGATTTAGTTTCTTTATCCTTTGCAAGAGTGAGTCAGGATTGACAATAAGAATTGGGGGGGGGGGAAATGTGAAGATGAGCAATAAAATGCTCTTTTGGAAAGAGATGAACCTGGGAAGTGTTGGTATATATGTCATTTCCTGGTTTCCTTCTGGTATTAGTGGTGTATCTTTATTTGAGTCAAAGTTCATCTACATATGTACATTCAAAGGCCTTTGTGTTCATTGGCACACTCTGGGGTTGTGTCATTCAAAATATTGGGGATAGACTCTGTTTTTAAATCTATACTTTTCAATTATCTTTTAAATGTACCATAAATTACGTAGGTATGGTTTTTTAGTAGCATAAGAAAAGCTCTATTAAATGTAGCTTCCTTGGGTAAAAAAAATCACAAAAATTAAAATAGTCTGAACATTCTTCCTCCTCTTTCCACCAAATGAAATATCCTGAGTGAAAACTGAACAAGTGACCCACTGCCCACAGAAGGCATCCATTCCTAGATGGGGGTAATTGTCTTTCCTCAATTCTGCTTGAGGGCGGGTTGGAGAGGAAGGAAATTTCCATTGCCTGAATAAACAGGAGCTTGAAGGAAGCTGCATTAGGCACTTGGATTTGGTTTGGTTTTCTACTGATGGGCTTGAGCTAGATCAGGTAGCATGTTAAGAGATTAAGAAGCGGACTATGTGGCTACATTTGTTCTCAAGGGCTTAAAGAGCTCTTGCTATTGCCCTTGCTTGCAAGTAATGCTATGTACTGTATGTATGTAGCTAGCCTAATGTATGGACATGTGGTGATGCCGTCTATGAAATGCTGGGCATACATTGCTATTCCTGGAATATTTGAAGATATCAAATGTAGGACCTTTACGTCTGCATTATGTGTTGGTTTATCCTTAGACTTTTAAAAGTAATTCCTTTAACTGTTCCTTGCGAATGGAGAGCTGTAGACTGCTAATAGATTATTTGGTATATTTTGTGGGCAGAGATCCGGGTTTGCAACATTCTTACTTTTTGTTCTTTGTGTATTCATGCAGCTGCCCTGTTTAGATGATGCACAATCCACAGATGAGTTTGGTTCAAGGTGTGCATAAATAGGGAGGTGTGTGTGTCTGTTAATCACATTCCACCCTTCAAACCTGGATCTGTTGCACAGCTGTACCGTTTGACGCCATTGTCAGTTGCAAAATAAACATCCACTTGATTATTTATTACCAGTTTTTAAAGAAAATAAAACAGTTGTTGCTGCCTGTGAATGAAATGTTTATACCCCTCTGCTAGCACATGTTTTGTTAAGGGAGGGGGATGATGGTGCTAAAAATGTGTCATTTCCCCCCCCCCTTCCCCTTTTTTGTCCAGTCTCAGTGTAATTCTGAACAGAGCCCCCAGTGTTCATTGTGGAGGAGAATGGTGTGTGTTCTTCCAGTTCACATGAGAACATAAGGCTTGCAGGGTTTGAGGGCAGCTGTTGCTGGGGCCATTTGATGGTAGCTTCCTGCTGAATTTTGCAAAGCATAGAAAGCTACTCTGAAATTTGTTTTTAGGAAATCACTCCAGGGCTCCATTCCAAGACAGAGAGGTTTCTC